CTACTAAAACGTTTTGCTAGATATGAATTTTGTTAGAGATTCTCCAGTCTCGGTCGAATAAAGTTTTGGTTAAGGTAAAGAAGTCGTTTCTTTGAAATTAAATAAAAGTCTAGTAAGGTCGAAATTCGATGAAACATTGTTTCATTTCAAAGAGACCTTTTTCTGGGTGATAGTCTTCTTATTTTTCAGTCTAGATGGTTTACTCAATTAGCGCCGTGCGCGCCGAGCTAAATGTCGCGATGACAAAGAAAAACGATGCTTCTTTAACAAACCTTGAAACGAACGAAACGTGGCGGTGCGTTATTTAATGGAGAGAAAAAAAACGTTGCTTCTTTAACAGACCTTTAAACGAACGAAACGTGGCGGTGCGTCATTTAATAACATGAAAGTAATAATTGTATCGTGTTAATTATACGTGTACGTGTTGTACCACACGCTATTTACGTTAACTTCGCTAGGGAGATCCCACGAGTTTACATTTCTGATCTGTTTTGTCACGCTCGCTTGATATATTTATTATGCTCATCCTGTACGGACATATCTCTTTTGCGTATGACAATGATACGTCAGGGTCCAGTAAATTCTGCGGTCTCTCGCCGTACATTTTTGCGCTGGACTTGGTATTTTTCTCCCACTGCTAATCGGTACGCTGAGAAAAATTACCGCCGGATAAACCGCTCGAATGGTGTTTCCGATGGTTAATTTTGCCGATTGACTTTCCCGATTCAATTAACAGGGGGAAATCGTCAAAGTCGCCAGAAGTAATTAAAAACTTGAAAAGATTACTTAACCATGTCTGGCATATTTTTATGTTTAAACTCGCAACGTTTCGACCACGGTTTGTGGTCCTCTACAAGTGATAATTGTGTGAAAAATTCAGTGTGGTAAATCGAAGGGACACGTCTTGTTTTCACGAAAGGCAGAACATGGCTGCCTTTTAAAATACGCCAGACACGGTCGAGTGATCTCTTGAAGTTTTCCGATCAAATTGTGCATATATCCGATGCAATTTCATCGATATCTTTCATCGGATATAAAATTTAATCGGATGTATCCGTTTGATATTATAAAATTGAATTATCCGATTATATTTAATCGGACATTTTTCTCTCAGTGTAGACAAAGAATTAATAATAACTTTACAGCGTTCGGTTCCCTTCGGGTTGCGGCTGGAATTTTATGGGTATCTTTATGCGCGGAGCCAAGGGAAAAAATACGCGCGGGAGTAAATAGCGCAGCCGGAAAAAGAATTTTAATGTCTACGGCGGGGGATTATTCCGAGTGAGATAAACTGAACCACGAGATTTGTTTTCACTTATTTAGTTGGAAAACAGAACTATTACATTAAATTTAGTTATACTTGTGGAAACATTACGTTTATCACGCTTTGTTGCGCAAATAATATAATCTGTCGTAATTCGTCATCTTTTTAATACGTTTTTATAATGTACGTAGTTAATTTTGCGGGCTTATTTCCTA